GACTACATCACCTAATAAACTTGGATCAAAATGAAAATTTTTTGATTAAGATTTTGTAGTTTAAGGAGGAGTAGATGGATCTTTTATTGATTTGGAGTTTTATCTGTTTATTTCTTCGAAAATGTTTATTTTCTTTTTAATTGCTACTGCTACTTCACCTTCTATTATTACGTACATTTTTCCGTTTGAAGGGTCTTTTTCTTTAAATATTATTTGGTTTAAATCTATTTTTTCGTATTTGATTGTACGCCATATCTATTTTTATTTTATTTTTATTTTTGAGTTATTTTTTACACTTGATATGATTAAATCTTTATGTTCAGCACCAAATTAATCTATTAGCTTACTAAAAAATGTTAATTATTGAAAATATAAATGAAGTAAATTTGCTTCTTCTAATGATCTAGGTAAATTTTAATCTTTTAAAATTCCTAATATATTTTCATTTATACCCTTTTTAAAAAATAAAAAATAGAATAAATAATTTTTACCATTTTATTAATAAAATAATTCTAATTATTATTAAATTATCTGCGTGGGTAATTTTTTTTTTTCTTATTATAAATATTAATAAATTATTATTTAATTTTTATTGCTTTATTTTTTTAAGGTAAATTCTATATTTAAATTTAAATATTATAACTTGTGTTATAAAACAATAAAAATAATTAAATAAATATAAAGATATTTTTAAGTTAAAATAAAAAAGCATATATTTTAAGTTTTAGTATAAAAAATCTAATCTTAAAAGATTATTATATAATGATATAATGTATTAAAAAATTCATGTTATTATTATATTTTATAATATTTTAACGAATGAAATAAATATTTATTAAAAAATGCTATAATAAATATTATAAATTAATAAAATATATTAATTGGGTTTATTTAAGATTTTCATAATTCTAAATTTTATTTATAGTTATTGTCTAAATATTTTTAGCACAAAAACTAGATAAAGGTATGAATTACTTTCCACAAATTATAATATATTAAACAAAAATTTTATTTTAAATAAAATATCAATATTATAGAAATTTTGATGATAATAATAGTATTTATAATTATTTTAAATATATATTAAATACTTAATTAACAAATGAAATATTAATTAAATATTATTCAAGTCCTATATTTAAACATTATATTATTTGTAATTTAAATGCATTATTTTTAATACATTAAACATTTTTTTATATTAATTCTAATTTTTTGAAATTATATTATATAATAAAATTTAGAATAAAATATATTATATGTTTATTGTTACTTTTAATTTTTTTTTTATTAAAATTATTTTTAATTGTTTTAAAACTATCCTATTTAATTTATTTTTAGCTAAATTAAAATTTTAAAACTATATTTAAATAATTTTATTTACTTTATTAATAGGAAAAGAATAAATTAATATAAATTTATATAAATTTACAAATAAATAATTAATAATTTTTTTTTTACATATTTCATATTATTTAGATTATTTTTAGTTTATGTATGATAATATATAATAAAATTTTTTAATTAATAAAAAAATAAATCTTTTTATAATCTTTTAATTCAATTTATATCATTGTGTAAGTATTTAAATTTATTGATTTTATTGTAAAAAGAAACAAGTAATAATTATATAAAAATAATTGTTTTTATATTTTTTTTTCTTATAAAACATTTATTCTATCTTTATCTAAATAAGTTATTTTAAAAATCACTTACATTAAATTAAAAAAAATCAGATATTTTTACAATTGCAATTTTAATATTCAAAAAAAAAAAGGATAAAAATTAAAAATAATTATATATTTATATTAAAAATTTATAAAAAAATATAACATTAAAAAATAAATTAAGATTTATAATGTAAATTTATATTTTAATTTAATAAAAATAAATAAAATAAATAAATTTATTGATAAAAATATATAAAATAAATAAATAAAAGTATATTAAGATATAAAAATTAATAAATAAATATATATACCTAGATAAAAATATAT